AAGAGAGAGAGAGAGAAGAGAGAGAGAGAGAAGAAAGAGAGAGAAAGAAGAAAAAAAAAAGAGAAGGAGCAGCGTTATTGTCGTTGTTCGAAGAATTGCGAGATGAGGAGGGAAGAACAAATAGATGAGCGGGAAACGAACGGATAGAATCGGACCACTTACCCAAATGAACCAACGGACTGGACAGCGCTCTCGACAACGGTCTCGCGCTAGGTTGATTGCTCCTGCTTCCGCTCCCGCTACCGCCCCCGCTCCCGCCATAGGCCGTCGAAGATTCGTTCGAGATCTGCAACGTGTGTCTCATCATCAGATCTCTCTGCTGTTGGAGGAATTGTTCACGATCCCGTTGCTGTTTCGAGATCTCGCTCTCTTCCGGCATGTCTTTCTTCCCTCCTGTAAGATCTATCACCTCGGCGGACTCCTCGGTTTCCGGAGCCTCGTCCAATTGATTCGCCTGCCCCCGGGACCCGACTCGCGTCAACACCGTTTGACGTATCTGCTGTTTCAGATAATTGTGCGCCTGTTGCTGGTCGTGCAATTGTTTCTCTGCCAGGTACTCTTCGTAATGGGTCTGGGGCGCCATCATGCCACCTTGCAGCATCGGATGGCCCAACGGCAACGGCGCTGATTGAGTCCTGCCTGTGGGAATGCGCGGAAACGAGAAATGATCGTGGGAACTAAGCGTTCACGCGTTGATTCTGTTTTACGCAAAGGCGCGTCGCGATTCGCTCGCGGGGAATCGCTCGCTGCCAATGTAACGCTGTTCGCGCGTGCCAATTTCGCTATTCCAATTTCGCGCATGCGCGAAGCGATCGCGCCCAATTCGCCACGGAGGGAAAGAGAGAAGGAAGGAAGGAAGGAAGGAAGGAGGAAAGAAGAAACGCGTGCGAAACGATGATGGCACGCACGCGCGTTGAAACAACGATCGGCTGGCAGGAAAGAAGAGAGAACATACTACCTAAAGGCCGGTGACCAGCCTTTTGCAGCCTCGCATGCGCTACTTGCGTGTCCGTAATGGGATTTGCCGTCGTGCTACCGTGATAGACCGCGGACGGTGGATGTTGCCGATTCGTTACCGATGGATGTTCCAAATTTTGCTGCATCTGCTTGTGAACGTAGCCACCGGTCGACGTTGCCTCTCCTCCCTCGATTACCGTCAACGATGGATAAAAAGGCAGGGTGCCGGGCAACATTTGTCCCGTGAGCGGCATTCCTAGCCGCGCGGTGAACGCTGCGCGTACCTCCGCCTCCGAGACCGTGGCCAATTTCGTACCGGTCTGCACCGTAGGAAAGGTGGAAAATCGTTGTCTTCTTTAGAAGTAGAGTTATCGACCGGTTATAGTTATCGATCGAGCGACTCACCGTGTTGGACCCGGATGGAACGTGAGGTCGTCCCAACGAAATATTGGGCATGGACGGTGAACTGAACAACGAAAGATCCGACAGGCTACCTTGTTGACTGCTGCTGGTCAACGGACCCCCGTAACCGGTGTTCTCCGTCTCCTACGAACGAAAGACAAGAAAGAGAAAGAAAGAAGGGGAAAAGAGATGATCGACAAGGATGAATTAAGGATGGATCGATTCTCTTCATCGTGAAAGTGGAACACTCACTTCTTGGATCGCCGCTGCGTTTCCACCCGCTGTAGGGCTCGCTTGAGAATTGTTCACGGTCGGTGGTGAATTAGGCCCGGACTCTGGATTACTACTAGAATCTGAAAAACGTTCGATCAGAGCGCGAGCGACGGATTGAGCGCCAACGATTTGTCCGCGACTCGTCTCGCGTGAGACGAGACTGTTGGAATTTTGGGAAAGCGTTGACGGGTTACCCACCTCTCCCCCCTCCCTCGTGAAACGAGGGAGGCCATGTATATGCTTGTCCCGAATTCCATTGCCGCGCGAAAGAAACGCATCGCGTGCATCGTTTCGCCTTTCGACCATAATTCGTATCGCGATCGAACGATCGATCATCCATCGTACAATTTCGTGGTAACTAATAATTGAGAGAGAAAATAAAAAAAAAAAAAAAAAAGACAAATGAGACGAAACGAAAAGACGCGTTCGGCGATTTTCTCTCGCTTCTCATAAATGAAAATATATACATATATATGTATATATATGTATATATTTATTGTTAATCGGTAAACAAAAATCGATTTGTCGTCGAACATGCTGTTACTGGACACTGGCAGAAAAAGGCAAAAAAGTCAATATATAGATAGATTAATCGAAGAAAAAAAAAAACAACGGGTGCAACGAATTCTTTTCTGCTACTAAATGCTCACGCAAGGAAGAGTCGATTATTAATTTCGACGATTATGACGAATGAATTTCGATTGAAAGCTTTCGATCGAAGGACGTACTTGCTAGCAATGATTTCCGCTTGAGGTGCGACAGCAGCCGATCCTTCCGCCGTGCCATCAGGGGTGAATTTCTCGACGCGGCCATGTTCCTCTCCACGCGTTGCTTTAGTCGCACCTTGAGCAGGTTCGGCTCCGAGGCTGGCCAATTTTAGCCAGGGTTAGTTGTTGGTCGTCGTTGTATCAGGCCGGGGGTAGTGTAAAAACAGTGTACGTGTGGGTTAAGTGAGTTAGCTGGATTTGGGATATTGGAACGTCGTATACACACACACACACACATACACATGTATATAATATGTACGTATGTAGGGGGAGTTGGAAAAAATCGAATAATAGGAAAAGAACGAGGCGGTATGCGATATACGAGAGTGTCGACCAAACGAAATTTTTTATTAATTTTTATCTCTATTAAATTTCCTGACAATGACGAACGAAACGTAATTACGAACGTAATCGACAAGCTCGCAATCGAAGAAGAAGAAGAAGAAGAAGAAAAAAAACGACGAGTGTTGTGTTGTTGACGCGTGTCTGGTCGATCGGAAACACGTAGTTTTTCTTTGTGTTGTGGCGTGTCTGCAGTTTTGTCCGTGTGTGTCGTCGACAGGCAAAATGGTCGGGGGGCGGGCGGGGGAGGATCGCAAAAAACCATGCTTTAGTTTAGGCATTCTACCATCGTACATAGGCACACATATATAAAGAGACTACCTTCCACCAAATATGCTCATCACTCGACATCACGGGAATTTATAGTAGAACGAATATGCGCGCGTATATATAACATACACATACATATACACACACACCTGTTTTCCGTAGAGGGAAATCGTCGGCGAATTTTTCCTGCAACATCTGCGGCATCCTGTACGGGTGCGAGGCGTTCGCCGCGCCCGCCGATTCCGCCGATTGCGGCTGCAACCTGATCGACAAATTTCTTTTTATTCTTCCTCGATTCTCGGCTACAACATCGTTCGATAGAAATTCGTCTCCCTTTGTCGAGCAATGGGAAGAGGATGTACTCGAGAGAGAGAGAGAGAGAACAAATCGAAGAAAAATCTCACCAGCTCCTGTATCCGGGTGTACCAGGCACGGCCCCGTTAGCAGCCGCGGCGGCCTCCCTTTGCTTCTTGTTCACGAGGAAGCTCTGAAAATGGCAAGGCATTTCTCTCTCAGCGAGGATCCATTACCCGGTCTCACCCTCTACTTCCTCGTACGAAGGATCGATCGAGGGGGGATGGAACTACTTTCGAAACTAGGTTTCGATCTACGAAATTTTCCTTCACGCTTTTGCCATTTTATCGCGGATCGCTTGACATTTCCAATCCCCTCGCCTCTCCCCTTCGGCGATGAAGTTATCCGCGCGCGCGCGCACCACACAAGCGGGAACGGGATTATTCCGATACGAACTACGGGGTCTTCGACCCCCCACTCGTATACCTGAAGTCGTTGCTTCACCTCCGTCGAAGCGATCGCGCTGTGATCGTGTTTATCCTTCTTCCTCAACGCTTCGAGCCTCTCCTTCTCTCTCCTTTGCTCCTCCAGTTGTTTCTGCTGCTCCCAAAGCTAGGGCAAAACGAGAAGGAAACAAAGGAAAGAACGTACGTCAACGGGGGGCGGTGGTGGCGGTGGGGGCGGGGCGGGGGGCGGGGGGAGAGATACGATACGAAAATGTAAATGTAAGAAAGAACGGATTCCAATCGATTCGAAGGGACATGGGATATCTAGAGAAAGATTTCACTTACCTTCAACTGATGCATCTGTTGCTCGTGCAGCTCGGCCAGTTGTCGTTCTTGCGCTTGATATTGTTGCCGGAGAATTTGTTGTTGAAGCTGGTGATGCTGTTGCAGCTGAAAGAAAGGGGGGAGGGGGAAAAAAAAAATTCGAACGATTCGAAAAAGATTGATCGATTTGATTTTTATCTTTACCTCGAGTATCTTCTGCTGCAACACGTGGCCATGAAGGGTGGATGGATCCCCGGAACCAGTGTGATAACCGCTCGATGTCAAGGTGGTCGTAGCAGCGCCAACTCCGCCGACCAAGTCTCTCGGTCTGGACATCGGGGAGCCTGGTGTGTCCCTGGCCATCTCTGTGCATCGATATACACGCATCAATCGATATGTGTGTGTGTGTGTGTGTGTGTGTGTGTATACGTAGAAGAAGAAGAAGAAGAAGAATCGATACGCATACGCGGATTATCGTTCTACGACTGTGAGTAGGAAAGACACGGTCGAAACGAGAATATTATAATAACGAGTGTAGTAATAATAATAATAATAGTAATAATAATAATAATAATGATGATGATGATGTGTACGTCGAAACGAAGGTGTATTCCGCGAGAACGAGGTTGGGGGGGGGGGGGCAACGAGTTTAATGGTTGAACGGAGACGGATGGACGGTCAGCCGAGTCTCGATACCGCGGTTATTTTTAGAAGCGTCATGCGCGGCAAGTACCTTATCTTCTCTTTTTCTCGCGTTTAATCGAGTTTTAATCCACCGCCGATGGTCTGGTCGTCGGGCATGCTCGCACGAAGAACACACCGGCCGAAATATTCTTCTTCACCGGCGGAGGTCAACAAGGGAAGAGAGGGGCGAGCGGGAGAATCGGCGAGAAAACGGTCTCGACGACCGTTTTTCTCGTTTTAAATCGAAGGTGAGGCTCGTTGCTCGCGCGACTCTCGCTTCATTTCGAGGATTTTTTCGATCTCGATTCGAATACGCCTCCAGCGTACGAGTCGCGATCCTTCTCCGTTCCTTACCTTTCTGCGGTAGATGCGTAAACGCGGACGCGATCTCGACACTTCTGTAACCCACGTCTTCTGAAACAGAGAGAGAGAGAGAAAGAGAGAAAAAAAAAGTTTGGTTGAGATAATAAAAGAGAGATAAACACCGAAGTTTTTTTACGCAAAGTTTTTCTCTATCGCTCGATCGGGGAAAGCTTGCTCGCTCGCTCGCTCCCTCGCTCGGCTCCTCGTACGAACGAGAAGGAGAAGGGGTTACGTGGCGCATGCGCGGAGCGGTACGCGGCCAGCCTCGATTCTCTCGATTTGAATGGGATCGATCGGGCGAAATCGGTTGGAATCGGTTGGGAACGGATGGGACGAGAGAAGAACGGGCCGAAGATGAGCGCGAGCGCGAACGGATCGAGGCTCGACGAGCGTCGAGTTAGCGGGCGAGCAGAGGTCACTGTACGCTGCGAGAATTCCTTCGAGTCAAGTCCAAGGTTAATCGTGGAGGAGGGCCGTTCCTCGACGGGTTTGCTTTTGCCGCTCTTGTTCACCTCTCTTTCCTTCGTTGCTCCTCTCTTGTCCTAACCGAGAGGTAGCGATCGCGATTACAATTCGTTCAACCGGAAATACCGAATACCTCGTGCCTCGATTTATCCATATTCATCGATACTATTGCGGTTATGCCAAAACTCGTTCTATCCGTCCCGCTCGAAAAATCCGCCGAATTCCACTCTCTCTGATCGCGTGCGCGCTCTCTCGAGAAGGAATTCGATTCTCAGACGTTGAAATCGTAAAAAAAGAAAAAAAAGAAAAAGAAAAAGAAAAAAAAGAGAAGGGACGTTTTCGATTTCAATTCGAGCGATCGATTAGCCGGGACGATTATTACATAGCGAGGAATCGATACGAATCGGTCGTTTTTCACATCGAGGCGAAACGAGATATGAATGGAATCGAAACGAGTCGAGTCGAATCGAATCGGATTAAAAGAGAATCGCGATATCGACGCCTCGCCACAGCGTACCGTTATTATTAGCGACCGAATGTCGGTGTGTAGGTCAGCCGCGTAGTTGATGTAGAAAGAGAAAAAGGTGACCACGGTCGGTTCAGCGAAACCAGTGGTTCGTATTCTTACCGGTAAGTCTTCGTGTCTTGAAACGCGAATTCGTCCGTGTATCTTCCGTGTATATATATATGTATGCATGTATGCACGTATATACCTTTTCGATGGGAAAGTGACGACGCGATCAACCGTCATCCAATCCGCGAATCCGCGAGATAATGTATCGCGAGAGAGAATCTAAGGATCTAAGAGAGAACGCGTGGGAGAAAAGTCGGGAGCGGAAACTCGATTGCGTCGCGTCGGTTCACCGGAGGATAGTTGGTGCGAGCGAGACAGGAGGACGAGCAAACAGAGGCAAAGTAAGTTTTTACTCGTGTTCCTGGCCGGTGGCCGAGTAGCTAAGATTAGACGAACGTTCGCTATATATAGGATGACATTTATATACGCACCTACTAAACGCGACTGTACACGCGTCTCCTCCTAGTCCTCTTCCTCCCTACCCCATCACACCTATCCGCGCACACGTTACTTTCTTCTCCGTTTGTTCCTTCGTTCTTTTTTCAATCATCATTTTTCGTCCCGGAAAACGTATCAGAGATTCGGCAACGATCGGATTACGTGTATATTTTGCCACGTCGATTCGCGATCGATAAGGCGTTCTATGTATGATAGGGGAAAAAATCGAGTGCGAACGAAAAATCGTGCCGAAGAATAATTTAATTCGAGAAACAACTGACGTCAAGTAACGAGATCGCGCTGGTCCGACGTGTAGGCGTGTATACGTACACGACTACGTACTACGTATTTCCACGAGTTCAGAGTAACCAAGAGGAAGGAAGACCAATGACCTCATAATGGAGGTGATATCGGTATAACTCGAATCGGACTTGATCGCATTTAGGTCTAGACTAGACTCTTTCTCTCTCCTTTTCCCTCTCTACGCTTTTGATTTCCACCATTGACTTTCCACAAACTTCACAATGGATTTTAACGGATATTTTTTGGATATTCTTTTTCGTATATGTACGAATATATGTACGATATTATTCCTCCAACAAATGAAATGATTCCATGAACATTTTACAGGTTACGGAACGAAACGGCCGATCGAACCACGGTACTTGACCGTTCGCATTCTAAATTGAACTCGTGACTTGGTCTAAGTGGCGCGAATGATTCCAGTGACGTCAAGCTTGTTCACTTTCTGCTCTTTGTTGCGATGGATTAGCGAGTCAATTTCGAGAATATCGTATACACGACGAGAAAAATTCGTTGGATCGGAAACAGATCGTTCGATCTTTGCCACCTTTCACGTATCGAGAAGAGTTTTGAACGCTCAAAAACGTTTGCACGAACAATGTGCGCGTGCGCTTACGTGTGTCGTCACCCGCGATATCCAGCAAATGTCAGTCTACCGTGGTAAAACGATGAATCGTGGCGTGCGCACGTGCGTGCGTGCGAACGCGTGACCCGGTGTTGGCGTCTCGCAAACACGAATGTGAATTCTCGTTGCCCATCCATATGACAAAGTTCGTTCCCCTTATTGCTTCCCCTGTCGTAAATGGTATTTAAAACCATTTGCGAAAACTAGTCCGACTGGTCTTTCACCGTACAGTCGCGGTTATATTGCGTACGTACGTACGTACGTACGCGTCAATATCTTCGTTTTCCCTTCTTTCTTCGTCGTTTATGTCATTTACCGGTTGACGGGAAAACAAGCATCGAGAGGAATGTAAAGTTTGCATGAAAGAAACGATAATATTATTTATGAAATTGAGAAACGTCCATGTTAAAACTTGAGAGAAACGAAATAGTAATCAGCGGTGTTGTTTTGCGTATTGGATGAGCATCGTAAATTAAAAAAATGAATGAGAGAACAAAGAAGAAATATTAACACGTCGACCGTTCGTATATATCTCGAAGTTACACAAACGACGCCAAGTACAACAGGTGTCCGGTTGATCCAAAATTGGCTTTTGAATCATGATACGAAATCGAGACGATGATTCGAATAAACGTGGACATTGTCGATCGAGAAAAATTGTCGAGTATAGATTAAATGGTATAAATAATAAAAATGGTAAAAATAATTCAAATTTTGAGACTGAGTCGAGTATCGACTGTTATGTTGAGTTATATTGGTTGCCATAAAAATAAGGTTAGAAAATGTGTTGTGTGTCGTCTCGTGATATATTATGATATATTACGATGTTCGTAGCCAATCGATCGATGAGGAATATTGAAAAACCAAGAATAAAAGATTTCGATGAACAAAAAAGAATCAACGGTGAAATAAAGAGGAAGAGAAAGATGCGTGGCAAGTGTCGAATAGCGATAAGAAAGAGAGAGAAAAAAATGTGCGCGCGATTAAATGCGCAACGACGCGTTACTGGGATACATTCGCTTGTTTAAAACGAATTCCGTTCGTTCGTTCGTCGTTCGTCGTTCTCGAAGAACGTACAACACGTCGGTATATTTGTAAGTCTATCTGGGTGCTGACACCAACTGATAAGATTTAGAACGTGATTTAGTCACCAGTGTGCATCACCGCGCACTATTATCACTTTGTACACCAACAAACACCATTCGATTCCAATGGTAACCGACGAATTTAATCGCGACGAATCAGTTAGAAAACATTATAAGCGGCAAGAATAATGGCTTACGTTTTATCGAAGACAAGCCATCGAGTCGAACGAACGAAGGAATCGGCACATCAACGATAAACAGTAGAATTCTGAACAACAACTTGCAAAATATAAAGGCAAAATTGCGAATTTGTTGGTACAGGCACGCGCGCGCGAAAACGTGACGGACAACGAGAAAGAACTGCGCGCGCGGTGCGCGCTACCGTTCTTTCGCGATTCTCACGCATTCTCTGGGGGGGGGGGTGTCGCGCGCGCACGATGACAGCGCCCTGCCTCGTGAGACTCGCGAATCTCGGTTATTTATAGAGACCCGGTATTGTTGCGTTCGAAGCACATTTGTACTTTTCGCCCGAGCGCGAGCCGGCTACGTAATTGTAAAACTGCTTCGCTACGTTCGCTGCCTCCTCACCGCCACCCACCAGTTTCTCTACTACCACTATAACAACAGCCGTCGCTTCTTCAACGCATCCTCCTATTCGCAACTGTTGCCCTTCTGCCGTCTTCCTGCTGCCTTTGCGCGTTGCTCCCTTCTCCGCTGCCACATCGATCGTCTTTCTTCGTCCTTTCCACGTTCCTTCGTTTTACCACGGACTATCACGTACCGTTAAAATTTGGACTCGTCTGCGTTGCTCGATTGTTTTCGTCACGTCGCATAGCGCCGTCTAGTACTAGATCCATTCTTCCCTTTGTCTCTTCGTCTTTTTTATCCCATTTTATCTTTCGTTCTTTTTTCGCTTGGAAAATCGCGTAAACGAATAAACGCGAATTTTTTTTTGCCCGACGCGTTTATCTTTATCGCAAATTTGATTTTTCTTTTTTATTTTCTCGTTCGATGTTCGATAAAAAAAAAAACGGATTTCTCGCGTTTCTACGTTACGAATCGATATTATTCGTTACAAACTATTTTGAACAGGGAATAATTTATTCGTCAAGGGAAAGAAAAACGATAACAACAAATGCCGAGTTTTCAATTTTATATACGTACATCCACGATTAAAAATCGCGATTAAATATCGCTAATTAAAACGTATTCGGCCAATGCGTTTTATTTCCAGATTACACGGAACAATTTTTTTTTCTTCTTTTTTTAAAATGAGGCAATACAAGGAAAGAAAAGGCAATAAACAGAATGAAATGTTGAGGCGTCTAAAAATCAATGGCAGGTGGTTTCTCTAATGGACGATTGTTTTCAATCGATCAAACTGTTTTTCCGTTTAAATTCGATCGATGTCCACGTTTCTTCTCTCGTTATTACTGCGTCTTTCCCTTCCCCCTACCCCTCCCCATTATCTTTCAGTTTCTCACATTGTTCGTGATGCAGCTTCGACGATCCCCCTATCTTTCGGAAAACAATCTATGAGAGAGAGAGAGAGAGAGAGAGA